TAGTGGGCCAATAGTATCCCTACCTGAGGAGGATCTTCTCGAGACTTCGTGAGTCAACGTGCATTCCACATGATCCATCATGAGTTTCACGGATAGCAAAGTTGGCTTCCCCTTCACCAAGGCACCGGAGGTAAGGCCCACAAAACTTTTTTTTGTAGAGTACACCTTCTATAAGGAGGTAGCGAGGAGCACACCTCCGAAGTTTCAGGGCTTCCTTTGGGTCAGTCGGTACAAGGTCGTGTTGGAGATACTCCATGACGGGTGTGCGCCAATCTTGTGGGATTGATGATGAGATAATAGGAGCACACAACAAAGGAGGGCGACGCTCAACTACCACATTCCTGTCTTCAGGGAAGTCTCGAGCCGTGGCAAGCTTCGAGAGGGCATCCGCATGGAGATTTTCTTCTCGTGATACATGCTTTATCTCAACATGTATAAAATCAGTCATAATGGCTCGAGCAGCATTGACGTAGGCAGTTAAGGAAGGTTCACGAGCCTCGTATGCCCCCATAACTTGATTGACAACAAGGGCAGAGTCTAAGTGTATCAATATTCTTTGAACTCCTAATTCTTGCGCCATTGTTGAGCCAGCTAGTAGGGCTTCGTATTCTGCAGCATTATTAGTTCTTGGATTTGTAAAGCGAATAGCCAGCTCATGGGTAACACCCAATGGACTGATGAGAAGCACTCCTGCTCCAGAGCCGGACTTGCTTGAAGCTCCATCCACAAATATCCTCCAAGTTTCTGACTCGGATGGTGTGGTAACATGAATTCCCTCGGCCACAAAGTCAGCCAGCACCTATGATTTGATGGACGTACGGGGAGTTAGGTGATATCATACTCACTTAATTCAATGGCCCAGTTGATCATTCGACCCACTACATCCATACGTTAGAGAAGCTTACGGAGTGGCAATTGTGTGAAAACACAGATAGAGTGGCTCTAGAAGTATGGGCGAAGCTTTCTGGAGGCCATGACCATAGCTAAAGAAGCTTTTTCTACGGGAAAATACCTATGGTCGGCATCTAGTAGAGTTTTACAGGTATAATATATCGGATGTTCGGTGTTGTCAGCATCTCGACGAAGAAGTACCGAGCTCACGGCCTTCTGCGACACGGCAAAATACATGAAAAGAGTTTCATTATTTACCAGGGCAGAAAGCACTGGAGGTGTCACCAAAAAATTCTTGAGCTTAGTAAAAGAATTTTCGCACTCAGGTGTCCATTCAAAGTGTTTCCTGGCATCCTTCAAAGTGGCAAAGAACGAAGCACAACGATCACAGGCACGAGAGATAAAACGATTGAGTGCGGTGATGCGACCTGCGAGAACTTGTATTTCTTTGCCTCGGGTTGGGGAGGACATTTGGAGGATGGCATCAATTTGTCAAGGGTTTGCCTTGATCCCTCTCTGGGTTACCATGAACCCCAAGAACTTTCCAGCAGTCGCCCCAAAAACACATTACTTAGGGTTGAGTCGAAGAGCATATATGCAAAGAGTGTTGAATGTTTCTCGGAGGTCTTCCAAATGTTCATTGACACTGTTAATTTTTACCAAGATATCATCAACGTAGGCTTCTAGGTTCCGACCAAGTTGATGAGAAGACACGATCAATCATTCGTTGATAGGTGGCTCCAGCATTCTTTAAGCCAAAAGCCATGATCCTATAGCAATAATTACCAACTGGGGCCATGAATGCTGTTTTTTCTTGATCTTCTTTTTTCATGGGAATCTGGTGATAACCAGAAAACATGTCGAGGAAGGAAAGAAGGCGATGCCCAGAGGTAGATCAACCAATCGATCAATTTTAGGAAGAGGATATGGGTCCTTTGGGAATGCCTTACTGAGGTCAGTGATGTCTACGCACATCCTCCAGTGCCTATTGGCCTTTTTATCATAACAATGTTGGCCAACCATGTGGGGTAGAGAATTTCTCGGATAAATCCTGCCTGAGCGAGTTTGACTACTTCTTCTGCAATAGCTTGACGTCGTTTCCATGCAAAGTTCCTTCTCTTTTGTTGTACAGGAAGAACTCCTGGGAGAATCCCTAGGGCATGCTCAGCTACCCGACGATCAAGTCCAGGAATGTCTTCAGGACCTTGGGCGAGTAACTCTTTAAACTCTCGGACTAAGTTGAGAAGCTAAGGAAGTGCTTCTTTAGGCCAAGCGGTTGAGACACCGATGGTAAGGCCATCTTGAACAGCTTGTTCCTCATCAAGGTCGACAGGCACAGGGCGAGCTACCTCTTCTCGAGTGTCAATAGTAGTGACATGTTTATCTTTAAGGGAAAATGCACAGCATTGTTTGGCGATTGCTTGATCCCCTCGAACACAACCTACCCCGGACAGAGTAGGGAACTTCAATTTGAGATGAAGCGTAGAAGGGATGGCGTGAGATTGATGTAGAAAGGGTCTTTCAAGAATTCCATTGTATGAAGAGGAACATTCCACCACATGAAAGTTAACCAATGTCTCGATTGCTTGGTTGCCATTGCCGATGCGAATATGAAAGGGTAGAATTCCATGTATAGTGACTTGGTTGCCAGAGAAGCCTAAAAGAAAGACACTGGAAGGTTGACACCAATCCAAACGAAAACCCAATGAGCAAAAATCGGGGTAATAAAGTAGGTCGGCCGAGCTCCCTCCATCAATGAGAACTCGTTTTGCTGTGTAGTTGGCGATGGTAGCCTCAATCACCAGAGGTTCATCATGGGGATATTTGATATCTTCGAGATCTCGTGAATAAAAAAATGATAGGATTTTGATCTGAGATAGTGGAGGTGGATCCAACCAAAGCTCAAGCATACGTCTTACGGGAGGTGGAAAATTCTTGTAGTAGTCTAGTTCCTCCATGTATGATTGGGACGAAACCTAACATAGGTCCACTTCCCTGTGGAACTTTTCCTTTGTCTGATGGCGAAGGTTGTTGGATTGAGCCTTTGGAGCTTTGGACGTACTGCTTAAGTTGCCCATTTTGAATCAGTCCCTCGACGAATCTTCCCAAATTTTTTCATTCCTCGGTGTCATGCACGTATCCTCGATGAAAATCACAAAATTGGTTCTTTCCTTTTCTTAGTTTTATGTGACCTCGAGGTGGCCATGTCAACGGAAGCTTTTTATCTTGAATGACCTGGAGAACAGTCCTCCGTGGATTACTGAGTGGGGTAAAATTTTGGCCTGAATTGAATGGCCCATCCCTTTTGTGGTCATCTTTTTGAGCTTTGGGCATGTTATTGACTCGCTATTACCATCACTCTAGAAAACGGCCAAGTGTAACCACTTTCTAAAGAGTAGTATAGCGGGTTTGGGTTTTAATGTCAACCCGGGTCCAAGATGTGATGACTACTCCGTGAGTTCTTATTATTTAGCAGTGAAACTTTAGTGAAGGTCCAAACAAGCAAACAAGCAAGCAAGTAAAAAGGTTGTTTTCAAGTCGAGAGAGGTCACCCAGATATGGTTCCCCCTAGACTGCAGTTAAGCCGGGATGTAATTTACCAAGTTCAATTTCAATGATAGTTATACCGCGGGAGGTTCTTAAACAGTCTGAAGTCTCGACTAAAGGTCTCTAGACCCTCTCAATCTCCAGCGGGCGACTAACCTCCACCGGAGTAAACAGATTGAGGCACTAACGAACCAAACCTCCACTACCGAAGTGAATATGGTACAGAATAGTGAATTGACTTCTCGACTAAAGTCGCCAATTCACTACCTTCAATCAAGTGTGCTTTATCAACCTAGGCAAATATTCTCTTTCTAGGTTAAAGTAGAAACAACAGGAATTTGATCAGGATTCATGCCATTCAATAAATCAAACCTCAATTGAATATAATCATATAACGGAATCTGTACTTGGGTTCATACAATCAGACCTAACATACAAATCTAGGGTTCTTCATACCCAGGTGAATAAGAAAACTACTCCATAGAGAGAGATGGGAAATCTAGCTCAGATGCGGAAACCATACTGTGAAGGATGATAATCTGCTTCTGGCACAGAATCAGGTCTTCTCCAAACTCAAGCCGGGCTCCAATGGTGGTGGAGATCGACCTATGACACTTGCAAAGTCAGGTTCGTCACTTTCTCTCTCTAGGTATAGCTTTTTCTCTCTAAAACTCGGAACCCTTGTCTTTTGCCCTTCTTTTCCCTTAAAAAGCTGTCTGTCGCAATCCCCGGTCTGAATACCTGGTCGGGTATTTTGGGTGGCGACCGGGTATATTCAAAATGCATCGTCTGAAGACAGGGGAAAATCCTCGGTCAATGCCAAGAATCCCCGACCGGGGATTTCCGCTCTGTGCCCGGGCCCCCTTCTGCTTCTCAGAGACGCCCGAAGCAACAAATCCCCGGTCTGCTCCAAGAAACTCGTTTCTTCGCCTCGATGCCAACGCTAAGCCCTGAAATATGACATAGACGCACAACCTAGCGTGAAATTGGCTTAAAACACGAGAATCAACATCTCAAACAGCTCCAGAATAGGGGTAAAAACATGTGTAATCGATGGTCTATTAGTTATCCAAAGTTGGATGGAGGCATTGTAAAGTTTCTCGGTTTGGCGGAGGCGAATCCCTCCTACGATTTGGCACAATGTAGGAGGAATCTTGTAAGCTTCTTCTAAAACGATGTACTTCATGACCCGCTCCTATAGCTCAAACATACTTCGTGGAGGTTTCTTAATGAGGGAAGCCCGGAGAAGACTATTTGTTGTTCCTCGTGTCAGCGTGTTGACAATGACTTCAACCGAGAGGGAAGTGACGCCAATAGCCAAGGTGTTGTACCTAGCATAATAGGCTTTTAAAGCCTCACCCTCTCGTTGATTGGTATTCATGAGCTGATTAATGCTCACTACCTGTCGCTTTTGGGCATTAAACTTGCACCAAAATAGTGTGGAAAATTCGATGAAGTTGTTGATGATACTATTGCGAAGCTGAGAGTACCATCGACGAGCGTCTCCTCCGAGAGTGACGGGAAATATTTTACCATTGTACTCCGGAAGGTTGGGTATATGGATGTTTCCCGGGTATGGATCATTTAGAATGGCCAAAGCCAGGGGCGACCGGTACTTGGTTGAGAAAATATCCCCGGGGGAGGAAGTTCTTCGAGGTGAGGAACAATTGGGGGGACATATCGGGTCGCTGCTTCAGTTGCTGCCGGTATGCCATTCTGATGATCGCTCGAGGATCCAGGGACTCCCGTACTCCCGTAGAAAGTTGTTAGAGGAACCGGTGGTGGTTGTTGAGCCTCTATTGCAGACCGAATCTAAGCACAAAATCTCTCAATTTCAGCCTGCAAATCTTCAACCCTTTGGGCTGGCAGAATTTGCTCAGGGTTTGGAGTTGAACCTTGACCGATCTCAACATGGAGTTGTGAATCCGTTGTATCAATCTCGACTGGTTGAATTGGCAATCTATAGGTAGTAATCTCACCGGGCCCCACGGTGGGCACCAATTGTTGATGCCAAGTTAAAATAGTCGACCTCGAACGTTGTAGAGTCTGGAGAGCGTTGACCCTTTGATTGCCATTGGATTCCAGCTCTCGAGATGAATACCTGCAAAAAAAGGACCCGCCGGTTGTGGTCGGTTGGGACCTTCTCCAAAGCTCAAGTCAGTACTTGGAAATAACCGGGAGCGGCGTATAGAGCCAGCTCTAGGGAGAAAAAAAAATTTTGGGGTTGGAAGTTGCCAATTCGCCGAGAAGAAGTTTGTCGGGAATTCCCCTTTTCAGATCTCGTACAGAGAAAGTGAGTTCTCTGAAATTGAGATGGATCGCCGAGAAAACAGAAATGAACGACCTATTTATATGTGTCTACTGCTTCTGGCAGGATTGGCGTGTCCTTTATCAGTATTGATTAAAAAATAAAGCAACAAATGAAGTTGACAACTTAATTAAAGGTTTGAGAAACTTACCTTGGACCTAAGTGCATGCATATGGTTAGGAAAATAAAATGCCAAAGCTCACCATACTTGCTTCCACGTGTAAGAATATGGGATGGGCATTGGATGAATTAATAAAATAGTTAGTGATAAAAATGACATATTGAGTCTCATTAGTTCCACGTGTAATTGGTTTGTTTAGGTTAAGTGGGAGACTAGTTCACATACACGTGTAACAAGGCAAAATAGGCATGTTGGTTGTGTGCTTTAGGGTAAATTCTCCAACCTCTTAAGTCTTAAGTAAGTGAGAAACGCACTTGGTTTTCTACTTGTCAAGGAGTATCACGAGGTGGGAAGCTGAGCGATCATTATTTAGACCATACAATGAGAAGTGGGGGAGATAACTTGCCACATTGCCCTTTCTCTTCCACGTAGCTTGATATTAGGAATGTTGTCTTGACTATATTAGATAGAAAGATGCAAGGAGGCTGGCTTATAATTGAATTGTGGATAAAATTAACTTTTACCATCCCACTTTTGACTGTGTTAACAAGGTAGACAAAGGGTGATGGGAGTGCTTGAGATCACCTGATAACTCACCCATCTCATGCATGTACGTATCTTTGCAATTTGCATGGTCTGTAATGGGGTTTGTTGGGTGAGAGATGTTGGCTTTATATGACACATTTCCCCTGCTTGGCCAGGTGGAAGAAATATAGAGAAAATGGAGCTTTAGATATCCACGTGATCGATCCTAATGAAAAGGGAGTATGTTTTGCTCTCTCGTCACAGCAATGAAGAGGAGACTTCTCACCTGGCCACGTGGAGTAACTTGGGGTAATTTTGGGGAGGTGTTATTTGGTTAGGCTCAAAGAGAAGTGGTGGTAAAATTAACCTTGAATCTTTCACAGATCCACGTGTAGCTAATAGGGTTTCCACTCCAACTAATTAATCTGAATAGTTCTTACACATGTAAAAGGAAAAGTGATTCGTATACATGAATTGGTGGGTAATTGTCATATCATCTTTACGTGGCCATGAAGGGAGGTTATTCCTATACCCCAAGAGTGAATAAGGAGAGTTTTATGAGGTACGTGGCAAGAGATAAACCTAGGAGGAGTTGGTTGTGAGCAAGGATCCACCAGAAACATTATCTAGCGGATCAGTTTTGGTGAAAACAAAGGTTGAAAACTAAATTACTTTGCAAAGGTAAAATGAATTTGAATCTAGTTGAGAAATATTCTTCCAGGTGTTGCTCTCCCTATCTAACAATTATGGCTCGAAGAATCGAACGACCGTGTGTGGTTAGGAGGTCATAACCACAGGGAAGTCTAACAAGCAACCAAAGTTACCCTCTTAGACTCTAGGTTGAGGAATGGTATACGATCCAAGCCACTAATGTGACCCGCTCAACCTATCAATTAAGGAATGGTTAGACTTCACCCTCGAATTGGAGTTCGGACGGCCACCCACAACCTAAGTGTTTAATACGAATTAGGAGGTTTTCCCTTTAAATAACCTAGTGACATGCTAAAACACAACACTAAACTACGACCAAGTGTAATCGCAGTTCGGAAATGCAGTAAGTGGCAAGCTCTATTTGTCAACCCGGGGTCTAGATCTACTGCCTACTCCGTGATTATCTATTATCTAGCAAACTAAGTCGAGTGATTGTGATTTTAACTAAAACCAATAAGAAAGCAGGAAATGGTTCAAAGTTCCTTAGCAAAGGAAGAGTCACTCGGGAATGAGTCCCCCTAGCTCCTTAGTTAGATCAAGGTTTTAATTACCCTAGGTTGATTAACTGTTGATTAAACTGCGGAAGATCCGACAGTAGCTTGGAATCTCTTAAGCTGACCAAGCCCTCTCAAGCAGGTTAACCGGCAGGCGACTAACCTTCATCGGGATGGACTGCTGAAGCAATAAGCACAGATCTCCACTACTGGAATTGGGTTTCAGTACAAAGCATTAAATCGATTAACTCTCGTATAACCAATCTACCACTACCGATTGATGAAGCTCTAACAACCTAATCAGATTCTATCTATCTCAGGTTGCAGCAGAAATCAAGAAAAGATTATCAGACTTCAATTGACTCAATGAATCATGCATCAATCGATTATAACCAATCAATATATCAATCCCAAGTCATTACAATCAAGATTCCTAACACATGGAGCTAGGGTTCTTCCTACCCAATTGAGAAGAAGGTTCTACTCCATAGAGAGAGAGAGAGGAAAACAGAAATCAGAGTAGTCATACTCATAAAGATGAGGATAATCTGCTCTGAGATGTCGATCTTCACTCTTGAGGATGCAATATGGGCTACAATGGTGAGAAATCCACTCCAAATAGCTCCTATGGTTTGTTCTTCCACTTTCTCTCTATAAAGCTCTGTTTTTTGCTCAAAAACTCGATTTCCTCTCCTTAGGCTCGAAATTGGGTTAAAACCTAGAATTTCCCGACCACACGGCAAGGCCACACGGCCATGGGGAATCCCAGTCTGCCCGTGTGAGCGCCAAAATGCGACGTTTCAATTAAGTGCCTCCACGAATGCTACGAGACCAGAGCTGCACGGCCGTGTAGAAAACTGGCTTGCTCGTGTGGCATCCCTGGAATTTCCACACGGCCTCAAGGGACCTAGTACACGGCCAGTGTGGTCTTGCCAGCGTAATGGAATTCCACACGGCCACGACACACGACCGTGTGGCTGCTAGGTCTGGCCGTGTGGTTTCCTCAGCTTCTCGCCAAACGTCCAAACTTCGTCCAATCGACCCCGAACTCGTTCCCAAACCTCCAATCACGTACTAGGACCTGAAATATCACAAACAAGAGCAACCTACCGTGAAATCGGCCTAAGATACGAGAAATGAGGCTCAGATAGCATAAGAATGGTGGATAAAAACATGTGTATATATCAAGTCATCAAATTCCCCCACACTTAATCGTTTGCTTGTCCCCAAGCAAACCAAGTCAGATACAAGTTAAGCTCAACACATTTCAATCATTCCAACGTTGGGGACAAATCATATAGGCACTATTCACGTGCAAATACGATGTTATCAAGCGTTTACGTGCCGGCATGATAAAACGCTCCACAAAGAAGCAGTTTACCATGTCGACACATAAACCGCTCCCCCCACCAGGGGTTTGTGCCTCGTCACCCGACATCCGACATGTTGGCATGCAGGAGGTTGCGGGGGTGGGGGATGCATGCCATACTAAAACCGCCCCCCCCCCCCCCCCCCCCCCCCCCCGGTTTGTAGTGTAAAATTTGCCTATAAAAGGCAGGTCCAGAAAACTCAAAATATTCACTCCACTCCTCCTTCTTCTTCATATTTCAGTTGTGCACCTTTAAATTATTTAGTTTTTTTGTTTAACGTTAATTCGTAAGTTTGTTTTGTATTACTTTCATTGTCATTTGTGATTTTTATGTTAGTAACTTAATTATAATTTTATTGGGGATGGGATACGGTAACAACCCCTAAGGGGTTGTGAGATTGACAACCGAGGGTATTTTGGGTATGACAAAAAAATGAATTTATTAATTAATTTTTTTATTAACTTCAGATTGGGAATTGAAAACACATATTAATTACATGTTTTTTTAAATTTTGAATCCTACAATAAATACAACTCTCTCTTTCTATCTCTCTCTTCCTTTTCCAGCAGACACTCCACTCCGACCAGCAGACTTTCTCCAGAAAGATCCTTGAATACGACTCACTCCGGCCACCTATAAAAAATTAAAACTCTGTCAGTACGTTAGTGGTACTGGTAAGTACCACTGGTACCACTACCATTTGGTACCGGGTAGTGGTAGTGTACCACTGCCTTCTGATACTTGGTAGTGGTAGCGTACCACTACCATCTGGTACCTGGTAGTGGTATCGTACCACTACCAGGTACTAGATGGTATTGGTACCAAATGATAGTGATAGCGTATCACTACCAGCTACCACTCCATATAGTACCACTACCAGTAAAAAACCAGTACCACTACCACTAGAAAAAAACCAGATATGAAAATCTAAAAATCACAGATCTGAAAAACAAAGAGGAGGAGAGGAGACGAGGCACAAAGCGGCAGAGGGACTCACACCAGAAGAGGTAAGGAGAGGAGGCTAGTGGCAGGGGGAATCGATGATCTTGTGGTAGAGATCTCGTGGCAGGGGCAGAGGGGGGTGACTTGCGACAGGGGCGGAAAGCGCCGCGAGACTGCAGTGGCAAGGACGGAGGCAACAGTGTGAAGAGCCAGGGGGCAGCCGACAGGGGCGGAGGTGCTGCGGGACCGCTGTGGATGCGGCGACGGGAATAGGTGTCGGTGAGAGGAGGGAAGTAGTAGGAAGGCGGCGGCGACAGGAGAAAGGCGACAACGGTGGGAGGAGTTGACGAGATGGGAGGAAGAAGAAGGAAGAACAGGTGTTGGTGGCGGCCGCAGAGAGAGGGAGAATCATATGAAAATCTTAATTAGGATTTTTAGAGAGAGGAGAAGAATATTGAATTTAATATGGGTTGTAATCCCATGTGGTCATATTTTTTCG